CATGGATGTTTTCGTGGTTTTCTTCCTGTGTAACGTGTATACTAGCCAGTTTCCTTTAGAAAGTCCTCCACGAAGGCATCCCTCCCTTTAGGCAGATAGCCCTAGTGTGCTTTGCCATAATTAAATACACCACACCGTTAACGAACGAAAAGCTAGGCAATGGTTCCAGAAGTTCAGGTCAAGAGATATGTCTCTTAGTGATGCATCACGCTGCGATGGGCCACAAGCGCTGGACGATGAGGGCCTGAGTGCACCCATAGAAAGTGACAGTAGCCAAACATGTGGTTGAGTTTGCTGGCACACTTCCAGGTAGCTGATGAAACAATCAGACTCAATTTGCACCGCATAGGAAAGGCATACAAGCTGAGCAAGAAGGTACCCCACTCACTGCAATAAGCAACTGCCTGTTTGTCATTGCTTACTCGGCAACGCAATGCATCCATATTTGATCACCAGCGATGAAACGTGGGTCCATTACGATACATCCAGGCGTTCCAGACATTGGATGTCACCACGGGACACTGTTGCCTCACACTACGAGACCTTGTCTCCACCCATGATCTGTATCTGGTGGATTAGTCGCCAAGTAGTGCATTATGAGTTCTTGCCCAGTGGACCAAACCATTACGGCAGGCCCGTACTCGTAGCTGTTGGAACATGTGCATCAGGCACTGATGCATAAAGAGCCAGCGTTGGTCAATCGTAAGGGTGTACTGCTTCTCCATGACAATGCAAGGTCGCATGTGGCTCGGAAGGCCAGGGACACCATCCAGCGACTGAGCTGGGAGACACTACCCCATTAACCATACTCCCCAGACCTCGCGCCAACAGACTGCCACCTTTTCTATTCCCTGGACAACCATCTTCGTGGGAAAGCCTTCAACAACAGACCAGACCTCGAAAAGGCCCTCACGGAATTCTTTGCGTCCAAGACTCCTGAGTTTTACCGCGATATCGTTGGCAAAAGGCATTTGGATGCCGATGGTGATTACTTTGAGGATTAGCGGTGGTTATTACTTTTTATGACTTTTTCTTTCTGACTGTCCAAAACGGCAAGAACTTTTTTGGTTACCTCGTAACTTTGCATCTTTAAGATTCTGTTGCATACACAGTGTTTAAGAACGTGAAACGGATTTCTTCAAATCGATGACCGTTACAAATACCGTCATTTGCTGTTTATATCGGATTCACTTACTGAAAGGAACATGGTACGAACTATAAGGAATTTTTGAATGATGTGTAATATGAGTCACATTCTTTTAAAAAGTCCTTCATGAAGGCATTTTCCCTATGGACAGCCCTTAAATGATTTGCCTTAATAAATTTCCTATTTACTACCGTCATCAAAAGTTTTGGGTCAGACAATTTCAAAAAAAAAAAAATTAATTGATGAACTAAATTAAAATCATCCACATCCCCAGAGTTGTGATGTACTTGCCCTAACAAATCCGGCCAACAAACTTTGAGTACAAAAATTACACTGGAAAGTTATATAAATTAAATTGAAAAAAATCACGCAGAAAAATGCAATGCTTTCCAAATAGAGAAAGAATTAGCACGACATGTTGATGTGCAGTAGAGTGGACATCAAAGAATCTACTATACTCATGTCCATAAATTACGGATAATTCGGAGTCACGCGGAAATCGAAATCTAAAATAAATATATCACCTGTGAAATCTCTACACACTTCTTCAACAATCATATGCAAATTTCAGGAAGTAACCAGATGACACCGATGGTACGTCACAATGACGAGAGTATAAGAGAGAGATATATAAGTAATACAGGCAAAGAAGTAAAATTGTTCGCAGGCGCTTTATAAGCATTTCAGTGCAATAACCGAATAGTTATGACACAAAGGACGCATTTGGATGATTTTTTACGTGGTAGAATTATCTGCCGTCTGGAATGTGGGCGTACCCAACTGGAAGTATCAGACGAACTTGGAATTGCCCAGAGTGTCATCTCAAGGCTTTGGCAACGATTCCAAGATGATGGTAATGTGAGTAGACGTTACAGCACAGGTCGCCCCAGAGTAACAAAGCCGAATGAGGACTGGTATTTGGCAGTTACTGCCAAAAGAAACAAGCGGAGCACAGCCTCAGACCTGTCTCGTCAGCTCTCTTCAGCCACTGGTACGACAATTTCAAAGCAGACCGTGTACAGACGCTTAGGGCAGATTGGTCTATATGCTCGTAGACCTGTCAGATGCGTTCCACTTACTGCAACTCACTGTCGCCTGCGGTTAGCCTGGAGTAGAGAGCATGCATTGTGGACATCGCAACAGTGGGCTTGTGGGATGTTTTCCGACGACTCCAGGTTTAGCTTGCAGTGTGATTCTCGCCGGACTTTCATATGGAGAGCTCCAGGTACCCGTTACCACCAAGAAAACATCATTGAACGACACCGTTACGGTGGTGCAGGAGTGCTCGTTTGGGGTGGAATTATTCTGGGTTCCAGAACTGACCTGCATGTTCAAATTGGAACCATAACAAGCCAAATCTATCGGGACGTCATTCTGGAACAACATGTACGTTTGTTTCGGGGCGCCATGGGCGCACAAATTGTGTTTATGGATGACAACGCCCGTTCTCACTGTGCAAACATCGTAAGCGAATGCCTTCAATCGGAGGATATCACCCGTATGGACTACCCGGCATTCTCACCGGACTTCAATCCAGTAGAGCACGTGTGGGACATGCTTGGCCGACGAGTTGCAGCCCGTCAACCTCCTCCTACATGTCTACCGGAACTTCGGTGGCTTTTTGAGTGGTGTAATATCCCCCAAGATCAGATCGATAATTTGATACTCAGCATGCCTAGGCATTGTACGGACTGTATTGCATCGTCTGGAAGACATACAATGTATTAACAATCATACCAACCATGTATATTTTTTTTTTTTTTTTTGTAAATAGGTTTTTTTTTTTTTTTTTTTTTTTTTTTTTTTTTTTGTAATTTGCTCCAGGAAGAAAAAATTGCTAATTTTTTTTTATAATATCAAACATATATATAGCATCTTTTTTTGCTCTTTACCTTTTGTTTAATAAATAAGCTTTACAAATAAGTCAAATTTGTTTTGCTTCTAACTCTTCGTTTGTCTGATTTTGCATTATCCTTAATTTATGGACATGAGTGTAGAAGGGGTCATTTAATGCGCTTAAAACTTAACAGACTTAGACAAAATAAAAGTTTAAAATTACTTTCATCGTTTTCTACACAGTTCCTATTGACTTCAATGCACTTAGCACATGCAGAAGGAAGTGTTTTGTCAGCCTTCAAATCATTCCTGAAAGACATTCTCCAAAATATCATCGTCTCAGAATTATTTTATTTACTTGAAACAAAAAAGAAGTCCATTGTGCGAGGTCTAATGATGGGAGAGAAGCTAAAATCTGCTTTGTTCAACAGCAGTCTGTAAAAACTGAATCTTGTGAGATGAAGTGCTCTCGTGCACTTTCTGTTTTCTTTTTTCTTGTGGCTTATCGGAGTTAAGGAAACGGATTAGCCTGTTGTCGCGATATTATGGAACATATAATCAATAAACAGTAACTTCTCTTCAAGTTGGTGCCCAAAATCTTCTCGGCAAACTTCTGGGTTCGGAACTTGTGATACCGAGGGGATAATTGTGTTTCCATACTATTCTCTTCAGTTTCATCGCCTAATAATGAGAATAAAATTTTTTATACGACTCCGACATGAATGACAGTTCTTGAGAACATTCGATCCGATGTCTCTGGCATTAACATTACCCGTACAGTGTAGACCTTCAACATCCACAGTTCTTCAAGCAAGATTTTTTACCTGATCGAAAACTGATAAGTTTCCATAGCAATCCGAGTAACTGTCACTTATTTACTTTTCGTCACATATTCCCTCGACTTCAGAAAATATTTTTTCAGTGGTCAGTCACATCTATACAGAAGCTTCGGCTGGGATTATCTCAGAGTGATGCTCTCCTCTGTTTAACACGGCAACCAAACTGACTGTGTTACCACGGGCTGCAGCTATGCGTTCACGAATGTTTGTCGGTGAAAAGCCTTACCCCCCCCTTTTCTATCAAGAACTCAATCATCGAACGATACTTGATATTTGCAGCATTAACATCAATAACTAAAACACTGAACAGCTTCTCAGAAATCAAAAAATACTGCCTGTTATGGGCGTATTCCTTTTTATGCTTTTAAAAGATGATAAAGTCATTTCACTACATTTTGTCATGCCACAAATACTACATCGTACTTAAGCTCAGAACTTACTAAAGAGCCCTCACAGTAGAAAATATTCCGAACTAAGATGAAAAATAACATTTTACACATCAGTAAATTTTTAAAAAAATTTCCTCACCCCGATAACATATTTCATACTTATATTGTTCGTTTTAAACTCTACGCACAAAAACCCCATTCTAAATATATATATAATCAAGAGACAATAATTAAATCAATAATGGTGGCAAGATTACGAACACGAAGAATACAAATCAAAACTGAAGCAAAAACAAAACATGCTAAAATAATATAATAAAACTAATAGCTGAAAATTTTTTGGTCTTTTTCAAGGAACACCTGAAAAATCATTCAATTGCCTTGATTATTTAATTAATTTCGCAGTATACTGTGCGATTTTAATAATTAATAATTTTAATACTCCTCAAAAAAGACAAACGAATTTTCAACTATTTGTTTTACTACATTATTATGCTACTTTATTACAATGTTTTTGTTTCATCTTTGACTTATATTGGTTATGTTAGCTATTTTGCCCCTATTGTTGATTTAATTTTTATATCTTGATTATTTAGTTAATTTCGCAGCATACTAACGACTGTAATAATTAATAATCTTGGTTTTAAAATTTCTAAACACTTGCTTATATATTTATATATGGATGTACATCTTACGAACTAACGTAAGTTTTCACAAGCTTAAATTTATAGCTCATCATAACAAAGGAATCTATTCAACCAAAGTTGTACGTTGGGAAAAGAAAATTACCTCTTCATTCATGCGTAGCATGCATGGCCTCTTCTTAATTACTTGGATTGATATTTTTGTACTTGACGTTTATCCACTTCTTTCTCTTCTTCCTGCTTTTTTTAGTTAGTCTTCCTATAAACATAGAAATTACATATTTAATATAATATAGCAGGTTGAAGACTCATATTTTACTAAAAAAATTACATATTAAAAAAATTTCGAAAAATAGAGCAATTATTTGAGTAGAAAGCGCGTTCCCAACGTTGCATAATTAATATTTAGTGTAAATATTTGATCGTTTGAGAGAAAATGTTTATCAGAGCTTATGCTTCCTATCTCCATATTCTTCGTCCAACAAAACTTAGGCAGATATTGATTGCTTTCTGTGAAAACGAAAGGTCTGCTGAAACTAATGACAAAGAGAAAAATGATGATTTTAATAACATAATGCTGATGGCGATTGGATATGATGTAATAAGACTCAGTAACTAATTTTCATCTCTTTCTGTCTAAGAGAAAAAATCACTATATCAAGGGTTCTCAACCTGGAGGGAATTTCCCTTAAAGGGGAATTTCATGTTTCAGGAAGGGAATGCGGTCAGCTTTCTATTTACCTGTTAGAGATTTAGGTCTAGGAATATAAAATTTATGATTAATGAATATAACATGAATTATTTTATGAATATACTACTTATAATATTTATGAATATGAAAAACTACTTTTATTCAAGTTTTGGTATCAACATTTTCTACACTTTTTCTTGTTTAATTTATGAAACATGAAAGGGAGGAATAATCATAGAGCAAAAAGGGAAAAAAATTGAGAACCACTGCACTGTATCTTCTGCCGTTTTATATCATATAAATAGAAATGTATCCGAACAGACAAGAATAGTCTACCAATCCTTTTACAATAAGAACTAGGTAACTCTCTGATAAATATAAAACCATAACATCAGCAAACAAAGAATAAATGTATCTGCTTGAAAAAATTATTAGTAAATCCAAATGTCTTACGATGATCCGCTCTTTCTTTTCATTTATCGTATAATCAAACGCCACCACATAGCGACTCTTCGATTAGTCATGTTCTGTGTATTTAAATGCAAAACATCTTTCATCTTATTACATACTTTTGCCGATACCTAATATTCCACTCGCTTATACAAGTGATAAATACACAGCAGAAGCAGGTTCAAATTTTTGATGCCTTCTAGCTTTTAGTAGTTCTAGCAGTGCAAAATAAACTCCCATTTTTTAGTGGTGGTGGTGGTGAATTATCCTGGCACAAAATTTCAAAGGTTATACGCGCCAAACGTATGAACTCCTTTCTTGTTTGAGTTCGGCATAAAATTTCACAAGCACTTCAAAATATGAAGATGATAATTTATTGATGTTATTATAAAAACATGGAACAGAACATAATTAAAACCTACAGAAATTATAAACTGATTGGCATTACTTTCTGTTGGTATAAGAAGGTGCATAAAATTCACAAGATCAAAATAGAAAACTAGTTAAAATCTGAATATATGTAGATATTTAAAACCATTTCAAATTAAACAATAAAAAACCAGTCTCTCTTAACTATTTAAACAAGTTAACATTCACGTCTTTTCCAATTAAAAAGCCAAGATTTACATCAGGTGTATTCAAATATTTCACATGAAGACTTCTAAAATGCGGACATTTAACCTATAAGGTGTTTCTCCCACTTCCCTAGCGTGCCTTCGTGGTGTAACGGTAGCACGCTGGGCCGGTATTCCAGAGGCCGTGGTTCGATTCCCGCCGAAGGTGGTTGCATATTTTTCATCTCTCTGGCTTCCAAAAAAAAAATCCTAATCACTCTACCAGTGGCGCCCGAACTAAAGGGGTTGTGGATGATAATTCTCCACACCCAGGATTTGGCGACCAGGTCCCCTAAAACCCTAGTCGCCCTTTAAAAAGGGGAGTATATAAGGTGTTTCTCCCACTTTCCTAGCGTGCCTTCGTGGTGTAACGGTAGCACGCTGGGCCGGTATTCCAGAGATCCGTGGTTCGATTCCCGGCGAAGGCGGTTGCATATTTTTCATCTTTTCTGCTTCCAATTAACCTAAATGACTCTACAAACCAAAGTAGCAAAGCGTGTCGCACCGATAGCACAGCATTATGACATGAGACACATGAGACAATGAACATTTTTGTAACAAAGACTGAGCTCTTGGGGAGAATGGGAAAACGCAGAGAAGCAGTGCAGCAAATAGAAGGCTGTAACAGTCATCAAGAGTGCAGACACAAGGATGGTTAGGTTGCGACATTATAGGAAAATAATGATGAAGGGACAATTGCTCCCGTCTTTAGAGACGATTCTAAGCATACAGACTCTGTACAGGAGATGTTATAAAGGCTCCTGCGCAAATCCACAGAGCTTTAAGATGGATCGGATCAAGTTTCACTAATAAAGGAGACCGTGCCGATTCCCACTATAAATGCTGAGGAATGATCAATGCTCTGCACTCAAAGAGGTGTTCACCAAGACTTAAACACTTCTTCGTCAGGTACATGAAATGTGGAAGGAAATGAAGCATCCGGTTAAACAACACTTCTAGGAATTTCACTTCACGCGCAAATGAAATTAATGAACCTTCAAAATAAAGCTCAGGTTCAGGCTGGAGATTTTGCTTTCTGCAAAAGTGCATACAGTCTTCTCTTTTGAAAACCCAAATCCATTTTTCTCTGACCATGCCTGGATCCTACTGAGAGCAATCTGTAATTGTCTCTCCACATACCTTATATCTACACCTAAGAATTGATCTGGAGTCATCAACGTACAATTATCCTGAAACGGTAGGAGAAAGACTTTTTTTTTTAGGTCATGGTTTATTTTTTGGCTGAATAAAATGATACTTAAAACGTAAATCCCTAGAAACATTTTCTTAAGGTTATCAGAACAAATAGAGTTCAGTTTATTAATTCAAATTTATCAGAGAAATCAGAGCCTATTCTAACCTGAAAAATTCTAGCCTTCAAAAATTTTGAATGAAAACTGGAAGGATTTTGATGCCTAAGCCACTAGAGTGAAAATCACGCAAAATGCTGTACCTCTATGTCTCATCGTAAGCTTTTTCAGTGTCAAAGAAAACAGAGACAATGTGGTTTCTTTTGACAAAGGCTTTACGAATGAAGGTTTCCAAAAGGAGAAGATTATCGACTGTTGTTCTACTTTTGCGAAAACCACTCTGATATGGCAAAATCTGCGTTTTTTTTTTTTTTTTTTTTTTTTTCCCCTCAGCTAATAGACAAGTCGGCGGTTTACCATTTTTTTAAACAGTTTGCAGACACCTGCTAAATGCAGCAGGACGACAGTTGACGGAATCCTTTGGGTCTTTCCCCGGCTTAGCTATTGGAATGACAACAGTTTCCTTCCATGCACTGGAGAAGGTGAGTGAGCGCCACCAAGGAAGACCACTGACCTGGCCTTAGCCTATTAACCAGGAAGTGACCTGCCAGGAAGTGTGTTATCTTCCTGGCAGGAACCACATACTCTTCGTTCCACCCTGCCGCGGGAACGCAGCCGAATAGATGGCTAAGAGCCTCATAAAGCCTACATGTAAGTTTGGATATTGTTGTTCGGAGAAAGAGTATGAAGCGAGAAGACTTATACCTCCACTCGCATGCTCACCTACAAGATAGCCTTTCCTGAGAAATGAGAACCTGCAAAGATTAGCTTTCTGTGGTTTCAGAAGAAGCTTCTTTGGTTTCTGCACTGCCAAACACGCAGGACGATGTTTATCGATCAAGTCTTTAATGTTTAACAAATTTGGTGGAAGCTGTGACAATTCCATGAAATGAGGGCAGCCTTTAAGAATGATGTTTACTTTTACGGTGCTGTGTTTTTGTTTTATGTGGAAGTATCGAGATATCCAGTTCTTCCACGTCCATGTCAGTAAATCTATATTATCTGAACTGATGTTTCATTTTTTACACAAGCACTCTATTTTTTATTTCGGGCTCAGTCGAGATAATGCGGTGTGCTGCCCTTTAGAATTTGCACATAGCCCCTCGGCACTGCAATTTTCACCGTGGTGGCTTTTCAAAGAGCAACGTGCATATGTAAGTTTGTCACGACAATACACCTTGAATGGTCAAAGCGCTGGCACTAAAAGCATCTTAAAGGTGCGTCCACACGACTACCTAGCGACGTAAATGACACAATGAAACGCACGTCGCTGGCAAAAAGTAGTCCAAACGAGGACGCGAGCGAAGTCTGTGTTTAACCAATAGAATTACTGAAAAGAAAAAAATCACGTGACACTCATAGAAGGCTGCAAATTTAAAGTGTTTCATCTTCTGTTTCGTAGTCTGGTCAGAAGAATATCACATTCAGTTCGTTTTACAGTGAAATTTTGTTTATTAAGCATTTTAACAACTAAGATAGATTAAAGTTATTATACGCACAAATCAGTTTTTATGCAAATTAAGATTTATAAAATTGTTTTGGTTGTTAAGATTTATAAAATTGTAAAAAATTTTAATTTATAAAACAGAATATAAAGAGAATTAAATGACTTGAAACACCATACACCATATAGCAAAATCAACTTCATATTTTTTTTAATTCCCCTCCTCCCTTGGCTTCCTTGTTTATGTGTAGTATGGGAGTATATGTAAAGGAATCTGTGTAATAAGTAAAGTGTTCTACAATTTGATCATTCTGTATATATTATTATTACACAAACAAATAAGAAGAAAAAAGTTCATCCAATAAAATTTCTAACGATAAGCTGTTTTTAAATATTTTTAGCACAATGTGACGTTAACCCAAGTGCTCTAAAAAGGTGTGTATGCTTGTAAAGGGGGGGGATGCCCGTTTGGAAGTAATATAAAATCTGAAAGCTTTCAGATTTTTTCTTTTCATTATTTCTTACTTTTGAATTTAGAATAAGGTTCAAATTTTGGATAGTTTACGTAAAATTACGTAGAGCATAAAATACGTAATGAGGTAAAAATAAAGAAATAATTTTTTACAAGAGATGCCTATATATTATTACATAATGGGTTAATGGTTTCTAGTTACAGTGCACATTTTTAAACTAAATTGAAAACGATAATAATGGATAAAATAAGAAATGAAAACAATAACAACAAACACA